TCCAGGCTGATGGAATAGCCACTAGCATCAACAACAATTATTCAGAATTAGAAGAACAACTCAGCTCTTTACAGTGGGCAAAATTAACTAACACCCTGCATGTCTGCATGCAAATAACTCCTAGTGTGTTGAGATACTCCTAGTTAAGATTGCTTTGGATTGTAGTTTTAAAGTGCTTTTCCATGAACTAAAATGTAATTACTTAGTGTTCAAACTACACACATACCATCAATCCTAGTATTTTCCTTCTGTTAATGTCATAAAGATCCTTAATATCAAACAATATTAAACCCAAATTATAGTTATATTCTTTTAACAAATGGGTTACAAAGTACAACCTGCTTGCAAAAAATCAGAATTCCCAAGAACTGGAGATATATTTTCAGTAATAATGAGTTTGGAAAATAAGCCAAGTCCAAAAACGCAGTTGAGTTGCTTCCTTATGATCATTCCCCTCCCCCCTTTGATAATTCATAAAGCAACCACAGCAATGTTATTGGCACAGAAAAATTAATAGGATAAAAATATAATTTCCCTAAGGGGTAATCAGGCAGGCCAGCTTCCCTTTTCTCCCTCTAAATGTCATCTCAAACTCTTTCAAGAGGGAGATCCAAATGCATGAAGATTGGTTACAGTAACTTTAATTACATGTCATCAAGTCAGTGTTGACTGTTAGGGACCACATAGATAGATCTTCTCTAGGATGATCTTTCTCCAACCTGGTCCTTCAGTATTCCAGCGGTGTACCCTTGCCACTGTACTTGATTCCATCTATCTTGCTGCTGGTTGTTCTCTTCTTTCCTTTCCTTCCACCTTTCCCAGTGTTATAGACCTACATTAAGACACCTACATTAATAGACCTATAGTAGCTCTCAAGAGAGTTACTGTAGGTCTTCACATAATGTGTTCAAAGTATAATAATTTGAATGTGGTCATATGTCCCTTGAGGGAGAACTCTGGAGTGATTTCTTCTATTATATGGTTGTTTTCTTGGTTGTCCATGATATTCTAAGGAGTCTTATTCAACACCAAAGTTCAAAAGCAACAATAATCTTTCTATCCTACTTCTTCAAGTCCAACTTTCACTTCTATACAGTGTCATGGGGAATATCACTGCCTGCATGGTTCTGATCTTTGTAGGTATAGTCACATCCTGGCATTTGAGTATGTTTTCCAAGGCCTTTGTTGCTACTCTATCAAGTGTTAGTCTATGTCATATTCTTTGACTGCTGGTTCCTTTACTGTTGATAGTCGATCCTAAAAGGCAAAAGCTATTCACCACTTTAATATCTTCATTGTCAATTCTAAGGCTGGTTGCTGTACCCGTTTACGTTAGTTGGTCTTCTATATATTTAAACTTAGTCCCATTTTTTCATTGTGTTCCTTAACTGGGGGAGCTGGGCGGCATATAAATTTAATACATAAACAAACAAACAAACAAACAAACAAACTTCCATTACAGAGTTTGCAGACCATTTGCATTTTTGGCTATCAGAGTAGCGTCCTCACAGCATAGTACAGGTTATTGATGTTTCTTCCTCCAACATTAAAGCTACACTCATCTTCTTCCAATCAAGCTTTTCTCAAGATATACTCAGCATACAGGTTGAATAAATAAGGGAAGAGCATACATCCTTGTCTCATTCCTTTGCCCATCTGGAGCCAGTCTGTTTTGCCTTGTTCCATTCAGACTCTGGTTTCCTGGCCTGTGTATAGGTTTACAGTCACCTTAGAGTGCTCCATTTTCCAAGATCCGTACAATCAGACTTTCATTACAGCAAAAATACCCCTCTTTCATTTTTTTTTTTTTGCATCGCTCATGTAAGATAACATGAATCCTAAAATGAAAGACAATAAGAAAGAGGCAGACAGAACAAGGTCTACAGATGAAATATCTTCAGAAAATGATAATGTTCAAAGGAACTAGTTTAACTATTGTGCCCAGCCCCAATTAAATGGAGGAACTGAAGTGTGATGGAACCCTGTGGCATCCCACATGATATCAGTGTTTCACACTGATGATGTTACCTATTTGGGTACTGAAACGTCTGCAAGCAAACAACCAAGCTCAGAAAGCATCAAGAACTCCACAGTTCAACCCTGAGCTACTGATATTCTCTTCTACCCACTGAATTGCCATACCGTTAAGCTCAGAGTTAAGTAGCATATTAACCAGAATGTCACCCTTTTGTCAAATGCCATGGTTCCCACAATCTACTAAGAAAATTACTCAGTTAAAAAATGAGGCAAAGTTAATTTGGTGACAAGATTTATTCTCGATAAATCTATTCTGACTAGTAATTACCACATTGTTTTCAAGACATTTATATAATGATTGCTTTTTATCTGCTTCACAATTTTCTCAGTTCAAACTGGCCTGGATCATCATCATCATCATCATTATCATCATCATCATCATCATCATCATCATCATTATCATCATCATTATTCATTATCATTATCATTATCTTCTTCTTCTTCTTCTTCTCCTCCTCCTCCTCCTCCTCCTCCTCCTTTTTTCCTTTTTTCCTTTTTTCCTTTTTTCCTTTTTTCCTTTTTTCCTTTTTTCCTTTTTTCCTTTTTTTAATAGGGGAAATATCTGCCTTCCTCTCATCTTCTGGAATTTCACCTCTTCTCCAGGGTTTCTCAAAAATAATACCTAAAAGTTCATTCATTCAGGATGTTAGAATACAATTTGTTTGATCCTGTAGTTCTGAACTCATTTCAAGAAATAGCTATTCCTTGACCATTGTGTCTAATGGCAGTGAGAGTTGCAATCTGACAAGTGCTGAGGGCACCAGACTGGCAGAGGGTGGTTTTGACTATCCATTTACCCAAGAATGTTTAGCATTGAAGGGCGTCAAACACAGGTCAGCCACATGCTGGCTGGGAGAATTCTGGGAGTTGAAGTCCACACATCTTAATGTTGCAGAGGTTGAGAAGCACTGCTTTAGAGTGATGAAGGTGAAGTCTTACAGTGACCATTGTGAAAAGAAAAATTCTATCTTGCTTCACTTAATCTTAACCATCTTATTACAGATTAAAACTTTCCAGTGAGCTGTGAATTTTTAATAAACTGTAAAATCTTACCAATAATAGGAAGGAAATCATTTCTCCAGAAATTTGGAAAAAAATATTATAGAAATTACCTTTTCCAGTTTCAGGGCTGCCTGAACAAACATGGCTTTAATACCACACCTTCTGAGTGGGGTTGTAGAAGGGTTGGCTTCACCTCACTTGCAGTTACTTCTTTATCTGCAGTTTATCTGCAGTTTATCTGCAGTTACTTTCTTTATGTCTTTAACATTTAAATCTGCAGCCCACTAGAGGGAACTGCTGGCTCTCTGAAGAGGCAGAGTTGTGAAGTGTGGAAACAGTAAGTTATGAAGCAGCCAAATTCTTTGGCTGCAAAATGCACTCTTTGTTCCTTGCACAGAAGCAACAGTAAATCATACAAAATGAGCAAGTGGTTGTCAGCTACCCATTTCCAGTGAGCTATCTTATAGTTTCCAAACCTCTCTGTCACAACTCTTTCCTGCACAACCTCACCCATCCACCGGATCAGAAACCCTGAAAGGTCCCTTGTGCTGTAACAATACTCTTCCTTTTGCCCAATCAGAATCACCTATAAGGGTTGTCCAGTGCCCATCAACTCATCAATGTTATCCCTTTTGCTGCTTTTTCAGTTAAAAGAGCCTGTTGCTATTATTCTGCAATTTCTTTAGGACATACATTTATTTCTCTGATAAATTATTGTAAAAAATATTGCACTGCAGGGCAGGAAACTTCCCTGGGCAAAGTGACCTCTGTGCAGCTTGGGTCACTGTTCTCACTAGTACCATTACTGTAATTTCCCACAATACCTCAGAATTTGTTACAACAGAGGCACTGTAGAAAATTACTATGGTAGCCAGACTCAGTTTTCCAACACTGCTTAGAGTGCTGGGCAGAATTTCTTTTTAAAAAGGCAGGAGGGCAGGACAGCTACCAGCAATGGATCCTACTCAGTCCCATATCTCAGCAATTGGCCCAGGATGCCAAGTGTACTATTATATGTTATAAGAAGGATGGCCACTGCCAGGAGTTACACTGCCCTCTAGATAGTACAGTAGAACAAAAAACAAAAAACCATAGTGGGTTCTCTTTCTCATCCCACCAACAATGGTCAGGTCCCAAGATAGATTGAACTCTCTATGGTAATAAAAGCTTCCAATGGTGACCCATACTACATCTCGCTCGCTCTCCCTCTCTTTCTTTATTACTATTTGTGCATTAAAACTGGATGTAACATCCCTGGTTTAAAGGCATAGGACTAGGCTTCCTGGTACAGGCTGCATACTTCTATTAACTGAAAGACCAATCTTCTAGAATAGGATAACTCTTTTCAATGAATAGCTTCACATAGTCAGGATCAGGCCCAGTTGCTTGCAAACTAAAAATAGAGGTGGCTCAGACATGTGAAAAGACTGTTCTATATCAGCAACTGATCATTGGTCTGATATTGAAATATAAGCTTATAGTCAGGCTGTGTATTTGTTTATTAGCAGCCCCTCACACCTTATATACAACAGACATTGCGTAGTTTCACTGAATTACATAGGCTTGCCTGAGAATAAGTTTCACTAAATGGAGCTGATTTCTTAATAATCATGAGTAGGATTGGGTTATAAAACAAAACCTGCAACTCTTTTTATTATCAAAGTGAGCAGATCATTTTAAAAAACAAAGGTGCAAATTTATTTGTTGATAATATTACTGTAACTTTTATGAGATTTAAAGTAGTATTAAAGTACTCAGCATTAGTAGTATTAAGTGATGTGAAGGAAGTGTGTGTGCAGATATAGCTATCAGAGGCCTTTACATCTGAGTGAAAACATTTAAAGCTCCAGTACAAAACAGGAAAAGGAAACCATTTGGTCCAAGTCTTCAAGCTCAATCTTTTTTGTTGTTGTTGTTGCAAAGCATTTTTGTTCCTCTCCTTCCTGTCTGTTTGTCAACAGATGTATGCCGGAGGGAAGCTGCTCTTTGGGAGCTGTGTTTTCAACGGATACAGCTACAGCAAGAGGGACCTGCTGAAACAGATCAACCAAGTTTGCCTTGACTGCAGAAGAGGTCACTTCCTGCCACAGAGTTTCAAATTTAGGTAAAACATAAAATTAAGAGGAAGAGAAAAGTAAGAATGGGGAGAGGGAAGGCAATAACACACTGAGGTCTATGTTTACTACATTAAGTTGACAAGAATGAGTTGTAACGAGAAGAATGAGATTACATAAACACATTGTAGGGTGAGTGACAAGGAGGAGAGGAGGAGGAGAAAAATAACAGTAATAGTAGCTTGGCAGCATATTCTTTCTTGCTATGGTTCACGTTTCTAAAAATTGGGCTTCTAACACATACATAACTTAATTTATAATCATATAATAATCTGATTTTAAATCAATTTATTGTAATGACATTGTAACTGTGTGCAATATTATCTGTTCATATATTAACAATTTGTGACATAGTTCTATTTTTGAATCTACTGAAGACTTAAGATAATAATAATAATAATAATAATAATAATAATAATAAATAATAAGGTTTTGCATGTTGTTATATGTCCTTGTTTCACATTATTAAAAACATTATCTTTAATTTTGGGGGCTTGACATGATGGTACAGAATATTTTATATTACAGTAATAAACAGATGCGTTTTCATAGAAACAAATGAAGTTGAAAGTTGAAACATAATCAAGTTGCCTTCCTCCTCCTTGCCTTCCTAAGTTCAAATCCCAACATTATTTTGGAAAATCTAGATTTAAAAGATATATTGTTGATTTCAGCAATAATAATTCCATGTCATCTAGTTCTTATTTTTTAGAAAAAAGCTTAGTGTTTTCATTCTGAAAGTCAAGATAACAGGTGCTATGGTACCTTGCTGAAGGAAGAAGAAGCTGCTTCCTACTTCTACCCTGTCTCTGAGGTTACAATTCTATACTTATTTTGGGGTAATATGTTTGATGGAACTTAATAAGACTTAATTTTGAGTAGACGTGCTCAGGACTGCATAGTTAAACAGCTCATCTGAGACATTATCCCTTATTTTAAAATGTATAAGAGTGAATGACCATGCAGCAGGAGGAAGCAATCCCACAATGATACAATAAGGCAACTTTAAACTCTAGACCAGGACTACCAGATTGGGCTGCAAAGATTTGGAGGATGACTGGCTGGCAGCAATGAGATACACAAATTCTAACTTTAGTGGTCATCTGGATTTTTGCAGCCCCAAATTAGTAGTCCTGCATTTTATGCTGTTATGCATGTATCTAAATAGAGGGTGAATGTTCTTAGAATATGATGTATACTTCTTCATGTGCAAGCATACATATCCATCACCCTCTTTCCTCCCAGAGTATATAATGATTTGTGGTAGTGAATAATACACCAAAGAAATCAAAGGCATAAGATAAGAATAAGAATGGGATATACAGCTTGGTCTAGTTGACATCAACCCCATTCCCCAGGCCTCTCCATAATTTTCTATCCTTGTGAACCATCCTTGGTTCCACCACAGTCATACACCACTTCATAAATTGCTTTCTGTTTTAGCTTCTCACTCTCTCTTTCTGAGGTTCTCATCAACAGCTTGACCCAACTGTGATTTTCTCAGTCTTCCTTTCAGCTCATTCACACTGCCTTCATATATTTGTTTTGCAATTCAGTCATTCAGCCATTAGTTCTCCCTATATGACTGAAGTACCAACATATTTCATTTGTACTGGCCACTTACTTTTGTATTCAGTCCACATTCATTCAGCACCCATTAATTCTTGGTCCTATTTCTTCCTGTTTTACTACACAGCCTTTTTCATTAACACATTCCCACTGCCTTGAACTCCACTCTGATTTCTTGTTAAACACAGCTACGCCATCACCTTGGGTTACATTAATTTTCAGATCCATAGTCCTTGTTATATCATATAGGTAATATTTGCTGCAAATTACTCAGGTTCTCAGTAACAATATGGCATACAAAAGTACATGTACATTCATATCTCCAACCAGCACACCTCTAATGTCACCACAAACATTTCTTATACATTTATCTGTCAATTCATTCTTCTGTTATTCTCTGGTCAATGTTGAACCATTCACTAATCATTCCATTTAGTCCAATAAATACTTTATTTCCATTATATGCCACTTTAACTGCATTCAGCAACCAACTTTCAATTCTGTATTTGTGGAAAACTTTCCAAAATTCAAAACTATTCAGTTTGTCATATTTCTCAGAGAGCCACTAAGTAGCAAAATCTGGTCTGCTCACCTTCAGCCTAGCATAAACCACACTGAACTTCAAAAATGTTACCTACCATTACTTCTTGTATCATCTGATTCACAATTTTGCCAGTCTTCTTCCTAGGCATACTCTTGAAGTGATCCCCCTCTAATTTTGTACCTACTCTTGCTACCTTTCCCTTTGCTTTGGGGAATAATAATAATGGCATTCTCACAGTCACCTGGCATATAAGCAATGTTCACACATATGGAACAAGTTGCACAGCCAGTCCATGAGCCAACCATATCCCTATTTTTATATTGCATCAATTATATCAGCTACCCCAATAGTCTTACCAATTTTCAACATTCATAGAATTTATGAGATTGTTTGCATCACATTTTTCTTGGATACAAAGGTTTAGAGCATTCATATCCAAGGTACTATTCAATTTGATTCTTTACTATCTCACTACCATGTTTGTATGAGAGAGAAAAGCAACGCATGTGGTGTAGAGCTGCAGTTGAAGCCACCATCTTGACTTTTTTTACCTCCCCTGGATGCCCCTGAGTCTGGGGATGATGCAGTTAAGGACAGCTCCCTGCTCAGCTCCTATTGGCCCGGCCAACGTGCTGCAGGCTGGCCCTCCCCCTCCAATGCCTGGGCATGATGACTTGCCATTTTCTCTTGGTTGTGAGAGAAATTGCCCACCCAGCTTCCACAGTCTCTTTTCTTTTTTCTTTTTTTCCCAGCTAAAATATCAGCCGGTGGGGTCAATATAGCCATGGAAACAGTGCATTCCTGAGAGAGGCATCCTTGTAAAAAAGAGATCAAAAAGGTCTTGTTCTTACCTCACTAATATCACCCTAATAGTGGAGTAATTTTTTATTTTCATTTGAGCAGGATATTTCCCCCATCCTCCCCCTCCCCTGGGCTGGTGTAGATGGTGCTTTAGGTAAGTGGATTTCTTTTTTCTTGGGTTGTATTTGTGTTTTTCTATTGCTTATGCTTTGAAACGGTTAAAAAGGAGTCAGGGATGATGTGACAGTGTTTTAGAGGTCTCTCATGTGCATTCACATTCTCTTGCACACCAAGATGTCTTCTTTTGCCCCCTTGAGGAACTTGCTAACCCAACTCGGTGGGCCACCTGCAGCGTTATTAACTTTCAGGTTAGTTTTGTCATCTACTAAAATCACAGAGAAAAGGCAGCAGCTGTAGCTTAGAAGGAAAAATGTATCTGAGAAAGAAAGGGAAACCCGAGAGTTTTCCTCGCTATGGTCAGATAACAAGGATTTTATGGGTAAGGAAATGAAAGGGGAACCATGAGGGAAATGAGGCAGGGGAAGAAACCCCAAGCTTTTCTCTTATCTGCCCCAAGCTTTTCTCTTATCTGCCCCAAGCATACTCTTTGTTGTTGTTGTTGTTGTTGTTATGCTTATTGTTCTCCCTTTCAAGACTTGATAAAAATGCTCTGAGGTAAAATAATTGTCAGACGCAATCAAGGGAAACAAGAAGGCTTTCGAAGCTCTCTCAGAATAAATGGAAATAAAGAAAATGGGAACAGTTCAAGCTTTGCACTCTTTTCCACTCCAATTCAATCCTTTCCTTATCTTGGCAAGGATGCTTTTCTTTTGGGATGTTGCTGTGTTTCAGGGTTTTTTCCTCCCCGTAGAGTCAGCAACCTCAAAGGAGATCAATAATTGATGAAAACTGGGGCAGGGGGCCCTTTTCATGTAGGGTGAGTAAGACTGGGATTTTCTTGTGGTGATGCTTGCATTTGGGGATTACCAGTCACAAATAACAAGAGTCCTATGACAATAAGAGATACGAAACAATTGACTGACCACCCTAGGAGGGAGCATCCTGAGTCCCCCAAACCCTGCCCTGTAACACCTTCTGTCAAACACAACTATGCAATCACCTTGGGTTTTGATATATTAATTTTCAGATCTGTAGTCCTTATTATATCATACAGTTAATATTTGCTGCAAATTACTCAGGTTCTCAGTAACAATATGGCATCATCTACACATAAAAGTACACGTACATTCATATCTCCTACCAGAAGACCTGTAATGTCACCACAAACATTTCTTATACACTTATCTGTCAATACATTATTCTGTTACTCTCTGCTCAATGTTGAATCATTCAGTAATCATTCCATTTATTCCAATGAATACTTTATTTCCTTATATGCCACTTTAACTGCATTCAGCAACCAACTGAATGTGGTTTTGGTTATGATTATGGTGGTTTCTCCCACTGATAGATTATGCTGGGTGGGAAAAGGCAGGTGAGCAGGATCCCCACTGATTGTGAGACAATTTTAGGGCAGCATTTAAAAAATATAAGGATAGTTACACTGCCCTGCCTTGTTGCTGAGGCACAGGAAAACTGTCCATTGAGGGGATGATGCAATTTATCTCAAGATACTTTTCTGCTGACTTAATGATGAGAAGAAAGCCTGCTAAGATGAGCCCAAATGAATGTAAGCAAGGGGAGGCTCTTCTCACCTTCCAGCCCTCCATTTAGACAATGTGTGTCTTTCGATGTGGTGCAGGCCCATTTGCAGCATCTCTTGCATGTAAAATGATTGACAGTTTGCTTTCAGAGTTTAGGAGATGGGGGAAGGCCTGTTCCAAGCATGTGAATAGCTCAAGTGTCCTCCAGCTACATCTGAAGGGAAGTAAAAAAAAAAAAAAAAACTCATGGTAGTGGAAGCAGTGTTGTGAGCCAAGCCCCATCTCTTTCGTACTTGCATCAGTGCTCATGCTTGCAAAAGGGGTAGGGGTTGCATTAGGACCCCACTTTTTTGACACACACACACACACACTGTGCACATTGCTGGTATCATCTTTAATGCAATGTACTGTA